CCAAGAAACGTAGTGTCATAAGTTGTAAGTCCTAAGTCTTAAGGAACGGACCAATCACAGTCGATTAGCTTTCTCACATTCGACTGTGACTGGTAAATTGCTTTCCATTTTATGGGCCTTCTACAATAAGCCATTACTTGTTAAGTTTTAAATGTTAAATCATAAGAAATGTACCAATCACAATCGACTGTGAGTATTGAATTTCTTATGACTTAATACTTAAAACTTAGGTAATGGCTTATCGTAGGAGGCCTATAAGACTTAAAGCGTATTGCAAAAAGTCCATATAACGTAGTCGTTGTTTCATCTTAATAATAGCAAAAAATGCTTTTATTTAAAACAAGATAAATATATATATTTGAGTATTAAAGAGAAAAAGAGAAAATTCTGAATGCAAAAAATACAAATGACGCAAACAGATCTGTTTAATTTAACAACAATTTGACAGACAACAAAGCTCAATGATTCACTTGCTAGAAAGCACCGTATATCACACGTATCACACGCGACAAATTAACTATTCAGGTGTTGGGAAGCTTCGTATTGTAACTTGTATATATTTTTTATATCCATTCAATTTTAATTTATTTAATTTCGTTAAATCCGCACTTTTTTTTTTTATTATATATACCTGGAAACGAACTCCAACCTGAAATTCTCTCTGAATTTCTCAAAACAAAAACTAAAACGGTAACACGCACCGAGCGGAACTACGCCAGAGACGGGACAAATTTCCGAAATAACCTTTAAAACCGAACAGCAGCGCCTTCCATCAAAATTTATACGCGACGCGTTAAACGAAAAAGAAAAGAAAAAAAAAAGAAAAAAAGAAGGAAAGAACCATCAATCGCGCGATAAAACGCTACGGGCGAGTATCGGTGTAGCGTCTCGATAAGGATGACGATCGACTGGCACACGCGCTGGCAACGCGCTTCCGTTCGAGAGGCTTCTTCGTCGACGACGACGACCACCGAGGAGCGGCGAAGGAAAAAGAAGGGCTTGCCGAGTCTCTTCTCAACAATGAAGAAGCATATAACGGCGAGGGACAGATGGCTCCACGCATTTCGGGTTACAACACAGTGCACGTACCGCCCTTGATTAACCCGTGACCAAACGTAGCTGCACTTGACAGCTAAGGCCACTGTCTTCGCACAAAGAGGCAAGGATCCTCTCCACCAACCCCGTTCCGTCGCCCCTCCCTCTCCGCCGCCTCTCCTCACCATTCCCGTCGCCAGCTAGCAAAACTTGACCAAAACACGGCCGCCCCGACCGAACGATCGTAAATCAATCGGACGGAAACGTCTCACGATCGTCGGAATGAGTCGCGGGGGGCGAGAGGAGAGGCCCCGCGATTCACGTTGAATTCAACGAGACGATTACGACGAGCGACCGCGAGCGACGCTCGGACACAGAAAACGGTGACGTGACGTCTCGGGCGAGACACGCCAGAGCCGCCACCTCTTCTTGCCTCGCGGACTCGCGTAGAGCGGCTACAAGACGAATTTTACCTTGCTCGCTGCGCGTCTCTCGCGGGATACACGCTGCGGGGAACGCTGCTCCACGCTGCTCTCTCGCCCTGGACTGCGTATATAAGTATGCGTGGATGATCGCTACGGCACATCGCGGTTGTGCGACATGCTCGCCGCGCACGGCGCTCGGATGGCGGAGGCTCCCGGTGGTTCGCACTGGACAGATATAGGCCCTGGTCGCCACCACGAAGCGACTATCGCTGTTGCCGTCGCCGCCGCACACGCACAGCACCGCCCGGGGTATATCCAGCAGGGGTTGGTAATCGCCGCCGGATGGACGATCCGCGATGGCTCGCGTATACCGTGTCCCGCCTACCATAAAGTCGGCGTCGCGTCGCGCGAGGCCCCGCTCCGCTTCGAGCTGCGTCGAGCGGCCGTAACGTGGTCGCCTCACAGCACAACACTGCAAACGGGCCGCGAGCTGGGATCAGCCGCCATTAAAATTCGTCCGACGCACACGGAGTAGATAGTATAGTCACCACCACCACCAC